TATATATATATATATATATATATATATATATATATATATATATATATATATATACATATATAAACAATGAAATGTCTGTATATCAAAGCACGCCAGCTGCTCCCATTGCATAAAAAAAGTTTTATGATTGCAGCAACTACAATAGCTAATTAATTGTGGCTTTTGAGTAACAACAGCCCTCACGCCATATCTATACCCCAGTACTATTGAGACCAAGGTAAAATAGGCTAAATGTTGTTTGGAAGGAGATAATTTTGAGATGGGTAATTGTATTTGTTAGTCATAATCAGTGGAGTGTTATATATTTTATATATTTTAATATATTTTTATACGAATATGAAAAAAAAATGGCCAAACAAACTGACAAGTACTGTTTAGTTAATGAGCTAAAGTCAGTCATAAAATAAGTCCATAAATGTCTATTTAGGTATACCCATTGAAAATGTTAATTAATGGTATAATGATTTTGCCAAGACGTTGTGTTCAGCAGGAGACAGAAGCTACACAAATACCTCTGGCTAGTCATCAGATAAATAATAAATATTTTATATATAAATTGTAATTATTTTTGGTTTTTCAATTATAAAATCAAAGACCCATAAAATTGTATATCTAAGCCTTTAGCATTGATTTTTTATTTTTTATTTTATTCAGGGTATCACCTAGTCACACACTTCACGATTAGCGCCTTTATATTTGTTTAATATTTTCTATTCATAATAAAGTATTCTAGGAACCAGAAAAAAAAAAACAAAGAAAAGCAAATTTAACTGGGTTGATTAAATGTCAGCTTATGTATATACGACTGACATGCTTGAATGTAATCAAACGAAAGGATTTACGCAGCGGCGCACGATAATGCGAAGAGCTGGTGCATGATTATGCCTGGCTCTGACTTTGTCATAAAATTAAGCTTTAATTAGTTTGTGTACTTTTGACACCCTTAGCTTGTACAAAAAAAAACAAAATGCAAAACAAAATGACAGCAGATTCTTGACAACACTTTGAAACATTTAATTATATAAATAACGTTTTAGCGAATTATATTTTTGCACACGCATTTTGTGTACTGGCTATGATTTTTCACTGTCATATACAATACATACATATATGTATATATATATGAACATAATTGCACATACTCAAATCAGATGAAAATAATTCGCATGAATAAATTCAGAGACTGTGAATATTGTTATTTTACGAAACGTGTCGAAATGCCCGAACGGAAAAGTGGCTTTTCATTTTACATGTTAATGTGCGTGCCCTTAGCTATCGACAGCAAGCGATTGAATGAATGAATTGCAAATTGTTTCAACACGCACGACAAGCATTGAATATTGATTGCGACATGAAATTAATTGAGCGAAAGGGTTTTCCATACGCAACCAACTGGAAATGTCGAAATAAGCTCAACAGGTTAATAGACCATGCTGAAGCATGCAATGTGAGAGTCGATACTCCAAAGAAATATTAATTACTAAGTTATGGCATAAATAGTTCAAAGAGCAGCTTAGACTTGGGCATACCACAAATGGCAGCAGAAATTAAATTACATTTTAAATAAACACATACATACATATAGATATATACTTTTATACTTATATTTCCCTCTCTCCTTTCCTTGCAGACACAAACGGCCAAAACACAAAATACAACAATCGTTTTGCAGTACATCTTCAATGCGTTTTTCATAACGAATTTTGGCATCAATTTCGTACTTTATTGCGTGAGCGGACAAAATTTTCGGTACGTACTGCCAGCAGAGGGGCTTAAGTACTTAACATGGAAGCTGTGTGTGTGTGTGTGTCTGTTTGCACATGCATATGGAGTACATATGTGTTAAAAATAATATCATTTGCCTTGTATATTTTACGGTTTCGTTATTTAACATTTGCACAGAGGATTGGCCCGAAAAGCCCTTAACCGTAATTATCTTTTCTCTCGCTATATATTACAGCAAAGCGGTGCTCAGCATTTTCCGTCGCGTCTCATCGGCTCAACGCGAGGGCATCACTCAAGTGACAGGTAGGTGCGCCTGAATGTACACGCTGCCAAATACTTAAGCAATTGCTCAAGCGTCTCGCACAAGTGAATTCAAAGAAATGAAAATTTTATTACTCGTACATGCAAATAAATGCAAAAGAGCAATGGCAAACCTCCACGGGATGCAGCCAGAGCTCCGAATTCAGACAGCTCAACTTATTTTCAGAAAATCAACTTATTTCGAGCAATACTTGTGCGATGTTGGAAAGGAAACCAACTACACATTCGTTGGTACTAGTTGAAATAGTAGTAGAACTACATAAGGAAACAGTAGTAGAAGTTGGTACTAATTGAATTAGTAGTAAAACTAAATGAAGAAATAGTAGTAGAA